GTTGCCCCTGGAATTCCTGTTCCCACTGATCCACATTGAAGACAGAGGCTCCAGGGAATTCCTGCAGCAGCAGGAACTGGGGCGTGCCCTTTCCTGCCGGCCAGAGCCTGATGTGGGGACCCCTGCAGTCATGTTGGAACGGAAGGGCTGGACCCCTCGATCCACCATCCAAGGGTCATTATTAGTTTTTCCTAAACTCACAACCCAATTCAAGCAGCTGGCTGTCTCCCAGCAGCGCCTGAAAACACTGTCCAGTCGTGAGCCCCTTCCTCAGAGAGGCCTTTCCAAGTTAGGGTCCTTATGGGGGTCGGTGTGCTTAGAAGAGCTGTGCTTACTGGTGACTGGCTGGCAGCCCCCCCACACCCAGCCCTTCTGCTGCTCCCCATAAAAGCAGCAGCAACGTGCATCTGCCAAAGAGCTGAGCTAGGGCCACCCCGAGGCCAGGGAGAAGTCACTACCCACATGGGAATAAACCCTCCACTAAAGGCCCCCTGGCCTCTCATTGCCCTCTGGGCAGACCCATCACTGGGAACCACAGCTGGAGTGAAAAAGGAAGCTGCCTATCCCTGAACCTCATGGAAAGGGTGGGTGGTCAGGGTCCCGCCACCAGCGCGGCCAGCTGCCACAGGTGTGCTGTCCCACACAAAAGCAGACACTGCAACCTTCTAAGGCAGCGGTTCTCAACCTGTGGGTCGCGACCCCTTTGGGGGGCGAACAACCCTTTCACAGGGGTTGCCTAAGACCATCGGAAAACACATATATAATTACATATTGTTTTTGTGATTAATCACTATGCTTTAATTACGTCCAATTTGTAACAATGAAAATACATCCTGCATATCAGATATTTACATTACGATTCATAACAGTAGCAAAATTACAGTTACGAAGTAGCAACGAAAATAATTTTATGGTTGGGGGTCACCACAACATGAGGAACTGTATTAAAGGGTGGCGGCATTAGGAAGGTTGAGAACCTCTGTTCTAAGGAAAACAAATGAAAGCATTCTTTATCTGGTCAAGGAAAGGAAAGCCAACAAGCTGGGCCTTTGGAACACAGGTAGAAGTTTCTAGTTCAGAGCCATTCTGGCTGCTCGGGGCATGTTTAGGATCCTTTAAAGTCTAAGACAACAACTTTTGAGCAACGGAGGCTCTCACAGTCCTCAGGACCAGCAATACCTCCAAATGCCACACTGCATTTATTTACTTTTTTAAAAAAACTTTAAGTATATTTTTATTGACTTTAGAGAGAGGAAGGGAGAGGGAGAGAGAGATAGAAACATCAATGATGAGAGAGAATCATTGATCTGCTGCCTCCTGCACGCCCCACACTGGGGATTGAGCCCACAGCCCGGGCATGTGACCTGACCAGGAATTGAACCGTGACCTCCTGGTTCACAGGTTGACGCTCAACCACTGAGCCACACCAGCCAGGCACCACACTGCTTTTTTAAAAATAGTCGCACTTAATTTAAGAAAAACAGACTTTAAAAATTAAGTATTCAGCCCAAGGTCTACGGAAACATGAATGCCAGGTTAAGTGACAAGTGTGGGTGGCACCTGAGTAGGGGATGTGCCATTCCCTTCATTACACTCTCGCTAGAACCCACTGTGTTGTAATCACCAATGTAATGCATAGGGTGGCTCCCCAAAGTGTATACACACACTTTGGGTAATTATAAAGGCAGTGTTTATTAAAATGCATTTCATTTTCGAAATTGAGCTATCGGCTGTTAAAGTGTGTCTATACATTTTTTGGGGACACCCTGTACATGTATGTTAGCCCCAACTTAATTTCCAAATGGGAAATATGCACATTATTTTCATTAATCATTTTTAAATCTTCACTTTTGAAAAAATAAAGTCTATTTTCCCCGAGGGGCTGCAAAGGAACTCCAATGTGTACGACTCTAGCTTCGTGGTGTAATTCAACCACAGGATGTTTTCATCTCTTTGATGAAGCAACAGTTTTGTACCATGAAATCAATCTCTCGGCTCTGATAAGTGCGGTATGAAGTGGACATCTAAAATGGAGTGGAAATTTCTGTGGTTTTCTCACCAGACCTTCGCAAATGACCAAACTTGGACTTTTCAGGACCGAGCACAAATTGGAGTAACCTGATAATCGTTTAATCCACGATTCGCTGCACATTTATGGTTCTGACAAAACTGGAGACATCATTTCAGAAAGCAGGTGATGGAAAACAAGCCCATGACTATATGCTGATAAAACAGGGGTGGGCAAACTTTTTGACTCGAGGGCCACAATGGGTTCTTAAACTGGACCGGAGGGCCGGAACAAAAGCATGGATGGAGTGTTTGTGTGAACTAATATAAATTCAAAGTAAACATCATTACATAAAAGGGTACGGTCTTTTTTTTTTTTTTAGTTTTATTCATTTCAAATGGGCCGGATCTGGCCCGCGGGCCGTAGTTTGCCCACGGCTGTGATAAAATCACTGGGGAAGTGGAACTGGAAGAGACAGTCCTTCCAAGATGTGGATCCTAACTGAAGAACCGAGGCCCACAAATGTGAAGAAAAGATGAGAGACTTTATACAGTGTCATGGAAATGAGCGCACTGGCCCCCGCCACCTACAGGACAAGTGACCATCCTGTTTAGCTACGAACAAGGGAAGACGGAGCAGCTGGACACCAGCTGGAAGCCCAGTCTCCAGCTTTCAAGTTCAGAGTTCTCACAGTCCTACCTGGTTTCACTCTTTGGTGCTACCTAAGAATGTGAGCCACAAAGCAAGGGACCAGGGGTCCATGATTCCAGAACAGCCACGCAGGGGTCGGGCACAGGCGTGTCACTTGGGCAAGCAAGTTTCTTAGCCTCTCCAGGCCTCGGTTTACTCATCTGTAACATGGGGATGACAATAGCTCTTTGGTTGAATTGTGAAAATGAACGAGGTTGTCTCTAAAGTCCTTGGCACAGTGCCAGCCTAAAGACTTCCTGGAGCCCTCTATAAACGTACCGGCTTGGCCTCTAACTCAAGACACCCAACATTAAAGGCGGCGTCAGGAAGGACATTGGCCTCCAGCTCTATCCTTTGCAGCACTGAGGCCTCTCCCCCAAGCATGGACACGAGGCAAAGGTGCCATCAGCAGGGGAAGGGGAAGACCAGCTAGGAGGCGGCTGGGTCCCACCAGAGAAGCCGCTGGAATGCGCCTGCAGGAGCTGAGGGCTGCTGGGGAGGGACAAGGTGCCGGCTCACTCGTAGGGTCCCCAGGGGTCCAGCCGGCTCCACTGCGCCCAGTGACTCTCAGGGTGGCAGCGGGGCTGCTCCGCGTCTGTGTTACGGTGATGTTGCCCCATCCCCTCCGGGAGCGAAGCTGGCAACACAAGCCAAAGCGTTTCACCAACAAGTGCAAAGAAAGCGCGCCGGGCACCTGGCCCAGCTGGCGCCTAACCCAGCCCGCGGGTCCTCCGGGGCCGGTACCGAGGCCGGCGCGCGGGCATCAAAGGCCGGAGGCGGCTTTGGGAGAACCGAGAACCGAACCCGCGCCCGGCGCGCAGAGGGGAGCCGGGCTGAGGCTCAGGAGCGGCTGGGGCCGCCGCGCACGGCCCGGCCAGCAGTGCCCCGGGTCCCCGCGTCCCTTCATTCAAACCCGCCGCGCCCAGCCTCACGCCACCGCCCCGGGGCGGGTCACCTGGGGGAGGGGGCGCCGGGTCTCCCCGTCTCCGCGGCAGCCCCGCCCGGGGGTCGCGGGCACTCACCGATCG